GAGAAAAGGAACTATGTGCTCTCCTAACTTGAAAATTGTCACTTCTACCTTTTTAAGTGCCCGTTTGACCAAGTTTTTGCTTATCTTTCTGTCAAAAAGCAAAAGTCTGCCAAAACCTTAATGGCAAAAGTGTTTTTGAATAAGAACAAAAGTTGATTTTGGTTTTTGATAAAAATAAAATCAGTAATTGGTATTTTTTGATAAATGATTTGTCATAGGAGGGTAATGATATTTTTAATGTGTATAATATTAATTTGTTATCAATAATTTTATTTTTTACAATTATTTAAATACTATCTATCTTAAAACTAAATAATATTAATTTAAAATTAATCTTTTTAAATAGTTTAAATCATTAGAATAATTTTAAGATGCATATAAAATTGTTTAAGTGATTGTAGTAACTAACTAATATAATTCCACATTTTTGTATTGGAAACTCCTTTTCTAGCATGTTTTACCGATTTCTCTTACCACTTTTATTGAAAATTATTGTCAAAGTACTTTTACCAACTTGGAATAGAAGTACTGGCCGGGTCAAATGAATCTCAAATGGGTTCATGCTGAGTAAAAATGATATTGTGCTTCTGGAAGTTGCGAGAATCTTTAGGCCATGATCTCATTTAGTCAGTTGGCCTTTTGCAGAGTATAGTGTGCATTGCCTCTCTTTGGGCTAAAGAGACATGATCCATCTGGGGATTCCTTTTTTTATACTTCAAGTGGGGTGGGATGCTATTTTATATTGACAACTTTTTTATTCAATTTTGCTGTTTTTGCTTCTTTTTCGCATTTTCCCTTTGGAAGATGAATTACCCTCCCTTATAACTTTTTTCCTCTCCTTTTAATAATATTTCTTCTTAAAAAATTACAAATTTTTCTTTAAATTTGACTGAAGAAACTCTTTGCCAGCTGTAAAGAACTATTTGAAGGAAATTTTGGACATTGCCTTGTCTAACTGATTAGCTTTATGAGGTGCTGCCCCATCTCCGTCTGATTTTATCATATATTCTTTCATGTTATTGTAAATTGATTTAAACTGTTCCTTCAACTTTTGTTACTGATAGCATGAATATTATAGCAATCTTCTTTTTTTGCAGCTCAAAGGAAACATAAACCCCTCTGATATCATTTTTATGCCTTCATCAATTTCCTGGTTGGTGTGTCTTGAACATGTTTTAGTACTATTTTTGTTTTCATTTGTATCCTTCTTATAACTTTGCTCTGCTCTACCTCAGTTTGGTGTCACTTCAACTCTATGACCAGTACTTTTTAGCGAGCTCAATGGATGGTTCGGTTAGTAATGCTTATTCATTCAAGTTTTTTTGGATATTCTTTTCCTAGTAACTATGATGAGTGGCATTGGTACCCACTACTAACCGCTATTGTTTTTGTCTAGTAAATATTTTTTCATCAAAATGTAAACTTGAATCTGGTGCAAGCTAGTCTATTATCAAGGGTCAACTAGTAATTTACTATGACAATAGTAATGTGAAGAGAGCCAAAAGAAACCTTACTCTTACTAGCTCACAGGGTTTTCTGCTAAACTTAAATGGCCACTACTTCTACGAGGCCCCTAGGTGTATATTCTTTTATCATGGGACTGCCCCCAGTTTCTTAGTTCGGTATTCACCCCATTTTTCTCAATATATATATATAGAGTAAACTATAAGGAAGTTCTTGATTCGGGCCTAATTGCAATTAGTTTTAAAATTACAATCCAGTTCTTGTGCTTTGGACAAACATGACAATTCAGGCAATGAACTATTAAAATCATTGTAAAATACAAGTAGCTTTTTTTTTCTTTTCAGGAGGATAAACAAAAAAACTCATCAAAAAAGGAAAACACATAAAATCTTGAAGAATTGAAGAGTTTTGACAAAAACTGGAGAGAGAGTTTGGAGAAGTG